ACGGACCGCGCAGACATAGGAACAGTCTAGACTTGCCTCTTACTGACGTTTTCCAAACGAATATAGAAGTTAGATCTACATTCTTCATTTTAGGCTTGAAATAAATTTGTTTGTGGGTAAGAGCGAATGAGTAAGCATGAACAATAACCCTTCTCCCTGACACGCCACCATACCACAGCATCTTACTAGCAGAGCTCAAGGTCATTGACGTAATTGTAATGAACTAAATTTAGACTTCCACCCCCCAATGTCACCAATGGGCCCTAAAGGTTGGTATGTAACAATTCATGACGGTTGAACAATGGCCTTTAAAATACGCTTTTAATTTGTTTTCTAGCGTTTACCGTATCTTAGAAAAAGTTAGTTTACAATAATTACAAAAACTTGTTGGGCGAAAGAAAAATTCTAAAAAGCTACAAATTAATTTATAATATATGTATCTATATCGTATCAAAGTGTGTTAAAGGTTTAGCGTTTGGTTTACAATGTAAAAATTTTCAAAGTCACAAGATGGTTTCTGAAACTCTTTATACAACTCTCCTTTATAAAAAAAAATATATATATTATCCAAGAAGTTGAGCTCTTTAGCCACAAAATCCACCGTTTTTTTACTTACCTGACGAAGAAATAAAAACAGTAGCAGCCGACGATCTTTGTTATGTCATATTTAAAAACTCATTTAAAAGTAACGACTTTATTTCAAGATTTAAAATAGAAAATATAAACTTTTGAGCTTTTAATTAGAACCAATAGTGTCCTAGACTAATTGACATCTTTCACACGAAGTGTCAACGATTTACCTTTAGTCTAAATGTCAAGTTATTTTGAAGCTGGACATTGAGTTTTGGTGCTGTTTTCATTGGCATCTACCACTTCTAACCTGCACTAAGATGGCGGACCTGGCTTCAACTGCTTGTATGTTAGTTATATAGATGTGCTCCATCTATTGGTCTTATGTGATCGTTGATTTAAACTAACGGAATTCTGATGAAAATTTGATAATGAATTATTAGCAGTTTTGCAGGGATGATTAACAATAGTTTTTTTTTTTTAAATTGCTTGTTAGTTGGCAACAAATCTTAGAGATGTGTATACATTTTTTAGGACAAAATTGAATTGGCAGATGCCATGGTAAAGAAGCGTACTAGAAAAAGTTACTTTCGCCTCATCCAATTTTTACAGCAGTCAGCTGTTGACATGCTAGGCGAGCAACCGCGACAGTGAGGACGGGGAACAGCTGATTTCATGTTCCTAGTTGGCAAATTGTCTGCTAGCTACTAACGTACACATGCATAAGCCATCAGCGGTAGCACCAGTAGCCTCAATGAATATATAAACACTTGTGTTAAGGTTTAAATACAGTAGTCAATGTTATTACTGAATTTGATACTATACATATTGTTACTAATATATGAAATGGAGAAAAACGTTACCTTAAAAATACAAAATTTCCCAATTTATATCCAGACCTTTTTAAATAGCTTAGAAAACAAATAATTTAGTATATCAAAGTGTTTTTGGACGGTTATTGGTAACAGGACAAATTAAAAAATTGTAAATTTAAAATTCCCTTGTTATTTATATAAAGAATATTGTAAAATATTGTAGTTTGCTTGTTTATGGATATATTTTGATCAAACTTGGCAAATTTATTCAAACAATTACCAAACTATTTGGATCATGAACGGTAGTTTTCTAGTTTTCCCAAGGTAGGACATGTGAATTGGAATTTTGGCGTTACAGGCACAATGACAGTAAGAATCAAACAAACGTACAGATATATACACAAGACTCGTTTCGGCTATCTTATTATATACAACGTAGAAATAACCAAACACTTCATGAGTCTACGCAATGTACAGACAAAACAGTAAAGACTTTGTAATCTTATAACTAACTATCTGCCCATGCTTCGCAACGGGGTGAGAATCTTTGGGTCTCTAAATCCACCGTAAAAAATAGTATATTTCGTACCTAGGGCCTACAGTGAGGTTTTGCCGACTCGATATCGGGTTTTAAGTTCGGGACGAAGTCGAGAACGTGAAACGATCGAGAGCTGCAAACCCATTTTGGCTCGTGGTACGAGCGCTATTTTTCACCCAAGTATGTTTTGCAATATAACGTCCCTCTTATTTATGTGAAATATTTTGAGGAATCAGCAAAATCAAAAATAACAATAAATCTATGCAGCTGTGACAAAAAACAAGTCTATTGCAATGCCATGGATACAGCTTGTGCATTTAATATACATTAATGTTTTAAGTAAATAGGCGAACAAGTGATTTTGCGGCCCTAGGGATGTAAACCCCTGCTCAGTCCCCATATGACGATGACAGCTGGCATGGCCAGCAAAACGTAACTTTCAGCCACCAATATAAACCAGCTAAATGTATGTAAAACAGCTAAAAACATCATAGTGAGGTGAAAAATTCGTTACGCATACTTTAACATTACCATGAATTAATTATATGCATACAGAAAAAACGGAGTCATACTTATTGCGTATTTTAATGTAAACTAGTGGCTCGTAGGGACATAGTCCCTAAAAAGCTACGGAAAAGGAATTATTGTTGGAATATTTAAACAAACTCAGAATCAAATTATCTATATGTCAGGATAGGCCTAGATATCCCACTACAACATATCTTTTGTGCAAATAAAACAAAACAGTTTGTTGTTTGTCTTTGTTTGCTTTTGTTGATAACGTTATGTTCAATAAAGAATTTGAATGATTCCAGAGGTTTAACTGCTAAAGGCAGCAAAAATGTTTATGAATAAATATTGGTTTATTAAGGTAGCTTTGGTTTTTTGGTTAATGCTGATAACAAGGCTTCCTCGATTGAAATACAGTATTGGAAATTGTCTTCGTCAAATAAGAAAAGGCAAAAAATTGTGTGTTGAGATACCCTACCCAGTTATTATTTCTAAGTCTATGCTCATTTTGTAAAGGTTTAACAAAATTATTCTTAAGTAAAGGCATCCCATTGACAGAACTTGGACCTAAATTTGTTTATGATCAACATTAAAAAACCACTATTAGCCTAGTGTAAGTATGTGGTGTTAATCCTCCTAAAGGTGCGATTGATTTACATATTCTACTTAAAAAGGGCCTAGTCAACGTCTAATTACTAACTATTTTGCGGCTAGTTAGGGTTCCACTACCCAGTTATCGAAACTAATCACGACATAAATATTTTTGGTTCGTTTAAATACCTGTACGAACCTACTTCATCTCTATTCCCAAATTGTTTTCTAAGTGTAACCGTTGAGGTTATTCCACTTCATACAAAATATTGATTAAACACTACAATAAATCTCAAATATAAATGTTAATAAATTTAAAAAGAAATTGGAATAAATCTTTTACATATGTTTTGAAATAAAAACAAAGAAGATCTTCTTTTAATCTTGAATCGTTTCTTAAATCTTGAAAACAATTTATTTCAACTTTGACATAACTAAAAAGTCTTGATTATTAAAGGTAACGTTATCCCTTTATATAGTTGGTTTTATATAGTATACATTACATTGCAGAATTGACTGGCAAATGAGTAATCCAAATGTAAGCTTACTTGCTAATGATAAAATCACGAACCGCGTGGATTGAAGTAAACAAAAATCAGCAGTAAATGCCTTCTAATGCTATTCTTATGGAGAACATTGTACGTTATATCTAATTTTGTGTCAAGATTTTGGGAATTTCACTATTTTTCCCGCCGTCACGGGATAAAGACCTTTAATTTGAGCACTCTCACGTCGTTCTACGACTTCCCAGTCGCCCACAATTTTGACGCAAAGAATCGGCTTACGTAATTGATATAGATAGAATAGATTTCTTGTATATTTCTATGAAACTGATAATTTACCCAGCACATTAAGGCCTTTATTCCAAGTATCTCAGTTCGTAAACCATACATACAATGTGACCATAAAATATCAACAAAATAGCATGTAGTTTTATGTAATCCTCACGACATTTCATTTGGTCCATTGACTTTAAATCTAATAATTGTAAAAATTATTGGAGCTTTGAAAAAAACTTCATATAAAATCCTTACACTAATAAAAGACGACGTCATGAGCGCGGGAAATGAGCTACAGCGGCTAGGGCATAGCCACATGAATACAGAACGGAATGAAGGAACTAGAACGGAGAACTGGCAACAGCGCACGCGAGAAGTAGGGGGGGCGCACACACCGCTCAAGCACTACAACGCATTAGTGGCATCCTGTCCACACACTGTTGAAATATACCGATTTGTGGCATGGTGCCACAATTAAAAACTGGAATGTTAGATGTTAAAATGGAGTGTTCATTAAAAATATCGATGCAGACATGTTTCTACCACCTTCCTTCATCCACTGGTGGCCGCAGGTTGAAAGATGCCACAATTAGGTGTTTGCGAGTATTCGGTAAAACCCCGTATGTGTGTGACTGTGAGTGTGAGTGAGAGGGAGCGAGTGAATGGTTCATAGGACATGCAGGGACAGAGCAGAGACGGCCTAACTAAAGGAACTGTGGGGCCAGCAGCCGCCTGATGTCCTGGTGCAACTGAGCAACTGAGCTGAAGTGTGTTGTGTGTTGTGTGTGTGCTGTTGTCTGTCTGTGTTTGTATGTCTGTGTGTGTGTGTGGTTTCCAAGTCTCAGTTGATACGTACGCGGTTTGTTTAGTATGTATAGTTTTGTTTTCGCCTTTATTTCCTATTGTGGTTCCTACAGTTTTTAAAATTAATTTGTATTACCGTAGCTCAATGTGCAATCTTACTCCCTTCCAAAGTATGTAAAATAATAATTTTAGTTATTAATTAATTTTTATATCAATATGTAAGTTTGACTACTGGTGAAGCTCATTCCCCACACACAGGCTGTGCCTATGTGGGGAATAATCCATCTGTTTGGTACGACCCTGTGTAACAATTTTTGTGTTTTGTGTTTTGATGGAATAAAGTATTTTTCATTCATTTTCATTTCATAGATTTATAATGGCTTTTGTTTTCAGAAAAGGATTGCCAGATGAACTAGCTGATAGTAAGTAAACCCATAGATAAAAATACTTACCTACTTTAATGGTGTTGGTTAGTATGTAGCAATAAAAATAAAGTAAGTTTTAGTCAATACATCTTGGTTACAGCTAAGTTGGCACTTGGTCCTGGTGCACCACGGCGTTGTAGTGTAGGCAGGGGGTGGGTGGAAAGTAGTGGAGGCTAAAGGTGCTGAGTGTGGGAACCCTTTGTGGCAGTTATATTAATGTATCGGAAATCCCAAAATGTTATGGGGAAGGAGGGAAACAGGTCCACGACGTAGGAGGTGATGAAAGAAGTAGTAAAGGCTAGCAGTGCAGAGTTTGGGAACATTTGTATTATATTTATTATATCTATACATTTTTTTCATTTATTGCTTTATTAAAAACCATGAAACATGATTGCTCCGCGCAACTGGCTTTCTCTGTTATGAAAGCATTCCTAGTTTAAAATAGTAATAGGCCTATGATTATTTTTTTTAGTTGCAGAGATAATTCAAATTCGTTTATTCAGAAAAAAAAATTCACAAAATAATTGCATTAGCCAAGTCATATGAAAATAGATAATGTTAAGTTTAACCCCTCTACAACAGAAATAACATTCAGACCATAATTTCACAGCTTGGGCATAATGGTTGGAACATGGTCATAATATACATAATTCTTATGTTTACAGTGCAAAAAAGAAAGAAGAAACAAAAAGAGCGAAGGCTTAAGAAAGAATGGTTGGCAAATGAAGGTAAGAAGAGAATACATCTTACTAATATTATAAATGTGAAAGTTTGTGTGTTTGTTTGTTTTTTGTTTGTTTGTTTGAAGAGTTTGGGAACATTTGTATTATATTTATTATATCTATACATTTTTTTCATTTATTGCTTTATTAAAAACCATGAAACATGATTGCTCCGCGCAACTGGCTTTCTCTGTTATGAAAGCATTCCTAGTTTAAAATAGTAATAGGCCTATGATTATTTTTTTTAGTTGCAGAGATAATTCAAATTCGTTTATTCAGAAAAAAAAATTCACAAAATAATTGCATTAGCCAAGTCATATGAAAATAGATAATGTTAAGTTTAACCCCTCTACAACAGAAATAACATTCAGACCATAATTTCACAGCTTGGACATAATGGTTGGAACATGGTCATAATATACATAATTCTTATGTTTACAGTGCAAAAACGACAGAAAAAACAAAAGAGAGAAGACTTAAAAAAGAATGGTTAGCAAATGAAGGTAAGAAGAGAATACATCTTACTAATATTATAAATGTGAAAGTGTGTGTGTTTGTTTGTTTTTTGTTTGTTTGTTTGAAGTTCAATCACGCATAAACTACTGGACGGATTGTGCTGAAATTTGGCATGATGGTAGCTGCTCACATTCCTGATTAACATATAGGTATATTCTTATCTCAAAAACCTTTCAGATCCGCCCCAGTGGCTCTGTAGTTTACCATGTTAACCTTATGAGTATTCATATTTAAAGGGAATTAAAGAATTTAGTCAGCTGTTTCAACTAAAAAAGTTGGTTCTATGTTATGCAAAAGCATTAAAAGTTATAAGATTTACCAACAGGGTTCACCACTATAATTTTTTGCATTTATGAAAACTGACAACAGCTAATATTAACAAAATATTGTGATACTAGGTGAAACCCGTCGAAATCGACGGTTACTTTCAAGGCTTACGCTAATTCATCTAACTGTGATCAATTGAGTGAAATAATACATATTTTGAGCATTTGGCATTGTTTTTTGATTAAAGAGTAATAAGTGTAAAAACAATAATGATATTAATTGCGATAGTTACCAAGTATGGTTGATCATTCAAAGAATAAAATATTTCCCATACTATACGTCATCGGAGTTATTATTAGTATGTTATCTGGTATCTCTTCCTTTGGAAGAACCTTTAAATAGTATTAAAATCGTATTGGTGGATCTTTAGTAGTCAGTGTAATGCAGATTAATCTATGATTTTATTTGAAAAAAAATATATATGTTTGTTGGGAAGACACGTTCTAACTTCAAACGGAGGTATATCCATTACAGTGTAAGTGTGGTTTTTCCTTAGTCATGTCGTGACACTTCAAATCGTACTTCTGTGCCAATGAATAACCCTCTAGCATAGTTTTGAGAAATTGGTTGTGGGATTACTGTCAAATCTAGAATTAATTGATATGGGGGATGTCAGTTGGTTGTCTCAGCCTTATCAATTACATAAAGTTGTCAATATAATCTCGCTAAGGAATGTTAGGTGTAGTGGAATATACTTGAAGTAAAGTTGGCTTTTATTCTTGAACTGGGGCATCCACGTTTATATGGTCGTGTGGCTTCATTGGCAACAAATAATGTAAATAAGATAGCAATGTGACATTTCCAAAAAGAAAAAAATACAGAAAATTGGCTGTTACGTAAATATTGACGTTTACACACATTTTTAATCAACGTATTTTATGAAGGACTAGCTGTAACCCGCGGGCTTTGCCCGTTTAACTTCTTAATTTTCAAGATGATCTCGTTTGCATGGCTCAATCACGTCCTGGTTGAAGTTCGTTCGCTACGCTCACTCACCTTTAGGTTGGAGCTCGTTCGCTGCGCTCACTTTCCTTCAGGTTAGCTCGTTCGCTACGCTCACTTTCCTCCAGGTTGAAGTTCGTTCGCTACGCTCACTCACCTTTTGGTTGCAAATTAGCTGTTGTCATAAATGTAAAAGAAATAATAGTGCTAGTGCTGCACCCTGTTGGTAATCCTTGTAACTTTAATGCTATTGAACATCATAGAACAGAACCAACTTGTTTAATTGAAACAGCTGTTAAGATTCATTAATTCCATTTCTCATAAGGTTAACATGGGAAACTCCAGAGCCACTGGGGCGGAACCCGGAAGGATTTTTGGGATAAAAATATGCCTATATGTTAATCGGGAATATGAGCTATCATCATGCCGAATTTCAGCCCGATCCGACCAGTATTTTTTGCGTTTACTTTTCCCATACACACATACACACATACAGCAACCACCTCTTTTTTATAATAGTACTAGCTGACCCGGCGAACTTCGTATCGCCTAAGTTATAGGTTTCCCCTAAGACAGACCGATGGAAAGAAAGTACCGTTGCGTTTAATTTTCAAGATGATCTCGTTCGCATCGCTCAATAACGTCCTGGTTGAAGTTCGTTCGCATCGCTCAATAACGTCCTGGTTGAAGTTCGTTCGCTACGCTCACTCACCTTTGGGTTGGAGCTCGTTCGCTACGCTCACTCACCTTTAGGTTGGAGCTCGTTCGCTGCGCTCACTTGCCTTCAGGTTAGCTCGTTCGCTACGCTAACTCGCCTCCAGGTTAAAGTTCGTTCGCTACGCTCACTCACCTTTTGGTTGCAAATTAGCTGTTGTCATAAATGTAAAAGAAATAATAGTGCTAGTGCTGCACCCTGTTGGTAATCCTTGTAACTTTAATGCTATTGAACAGAACCAACTTGTTTAATTGAAACAGCTGTTAAGATTCATTATTCCATTTCTCATAAGGTTAACATGGGAAACTCCAGAGCCACTGGGGCGGAGCCCTTTTAAGAATTTCGAAACGGGAAATAGTTTACGTCCGATTCGCATACCTACAGAATTTACACACCAAATTTCATAACGATCGGTGAAGTCGTTCCGGAGGAGTTTGCAGACAAACACTGTGACACGAGAATTTTATATATTAGATAGATAGAAGGATGGTGTAATCTAGTTTGAAAGAAATATGAATTTTCTGTCATGTAGCTGCTTAAATAATATTTACTCATTGTGATATTTTTAACAGCAAGAATATTGTGTTATTTCCAATAATGATACTAACCCAGTGGGCTACGGTCCGTAATATAGGCCACTGCAAATAATTTGTCAAGATAGATACCATTTTGGGCAAGGTTTCTGTGTTTGGATATTTGTTGATTGACACGGTAAGAGCACAATAAACTTCTGTGTGATGAATTATCTGTGGGAGAAAAATGAGCCGAATTATAAATGCACTTTAAGAGTATCTTTTTTATAGATAGATTAAATGATTTTTGTTGCTGAGCAGCGCTAGTAAACATGCACAACCATTTTCATTAGTCTTAAAACATTCAAAGGCTCTCTTTGAAGAGTTCAAGTTTTTATTTGTATACATTTCTATATTATGTTTTCATTAAGCTAAATGAATACATCGAAGTAACCTCTCTGAAAGGTCTGCAGTATATTGCAGTTTTCCAGCTTAATAACTTTCTAAATCATGCAGATATTTCTACACAAATATTGTAAAATGTTTGTAAAATGTATGACAATAATCTCATGAACCTATGACGATCTGTCTAGAATAATATGATAAAATATAGGCAAAAGTGGTAAAAAATCACATGTTTTATTTACAGTGTGGGGAGGAAATATAGTAGTCTGTACATTAATTATTTTTGGTCGAGTTTCGACCACAGGACGACCACTAGTACTTATTTAATACGCAAGCAGGATTTTTGTGACAATTACTCCTCCGAAACTACTGAACCGATTGACATGTTGTTGGTGTCATTGGAAAGAGGGTAACGTGAAGTTGTGCAGGAAACTTTCTTTTTAGGGAAATAATGAGAGATTGAGGCCCTGGAGCCCTTTAAAGTTTCGTATTTCTCCATAAGGATAACATGGGAGATAATCTTTATTTACAGAAACATATGTTTGTTACTTGAAAATAGTCAAAGTCTACTACATAATAATTTCTGTGTATTATGACTCTTAATGTATACCTACTACATTTCAATCAAGGATTGTGTACCTTAAGGTTTACCCATAATGGATCTTACTACTTTATTTTAATGCTGGGAATAGTAAAATTTAGTGGAGAATAAGTTACCATGATTTAGAAAACTTTACTATAATAATTTAGTATTTAAATCACAAATCTTTGACATTATTAATTCATTTGAAACTAAACAGCTGATCGACAAATCAAACAAATCATCTACTTCATGTGAATAATGTTATTACACAAACATAGTTTTTTTAACCAATATCTTGATTCTTTTTTACTTGTGGGTGTATTTTGAGTTTACAGTTATGAAAGCACCAAGCCAAGTAACTTTTATCTAATTTTCTTTATAAACTAACAGTATTAATGAATAACTACATGAACTTGACAAGTCAGGTAATTAATTGTCAGTATACCAAGGGGAAGAAGAGTGGGTCCTTGAAAACAGACGAAGGCGGAGACACCGAGACACCCATCTAGAAAATCCAACAGAGTGTTTAAATATAAAGGTCAGTGGATTGCCAAGACACAGATAAGACTAATATAATAAAAGGGGGCAGTGGATTTATTGATGAGGAATATTGATACATCAAAAAGGGCCTCATTAATGGCACAAGGCTTCATGTGATCAGAACGGTTTACAACTTAATAGAATGTAAAGTCTTAACTGGAACAAGTGAGTGGGGACATATTTTGATTTCGAGGATAAAAATTCCGTCTGAAACAAACTTACCTTTTAAAATGGAAAGATGCTAATTTCTGTTACATTTGAAATTTGCAGCGCTGTTCTTACAAAGACCAATTCAACAATTTCACTCATGAGCAACTATATTATATGTTGTTTTAAATAAGGCTACATATTTTAATAGGATACGCATATTCGTTACGGAAAACTCTGACCAGGGTAATCTTCCTGAAGGTAACTAAAAGGCTAAAATCATAGTATTCATAGAAGTGCTTTTGTGATAAAAATATTGGTTTTTTAGTGTTTATTTTTAAAAGTGTGTTTTCTTCAAGCAGCATTTTTATGACCCTCAAAATATGCTACATAGGCCTATTGGTTTGATATGATAAAATGTTTTGTTAAATGTGTTTTAAAAATCTTTAAAAAATAACTACCCTATAACCTTGCTTGCTGCCTATAAGTTAACATATTTGAACTTAAACACTTATTAATTTACTAAATATAATACACATACAGCTAGAAAATGACTGGACTGATTCCTTTTTAAGGCTTTTATTATTAATGTATTTAATTTTCGACGTCGGGTCAATATTTAATACGATGAATTTGTTTTCAAAATTCATATGTTATTTTGCGGGGCATTGACCCGCACAGGTTCACTAGTAAGAAATAATTGTAAGAGTTACTGTGATAAAAGGATTTTCCACTGATATCGTAATGGAACGTTGTAGTGCAAAACATGGCATGATACAGAAGAAAATCAATTTTAAAATCAGAAAATAACATTGCAAATACTTCTTTTGGACAATTCAGTAACTCCCAATAAATGTGTGTTGTTTAAATTACAATATTAAGGAACGCGGCAGCGTTCCGCCCCGCCAAGTCCCCCAGCGGTACACAGCTGCTGCAGTGTATATATACATGACGTGACAAAGTGGCTTTTTTACTCGTCTATAGCTCTGAAGAAACAAAAGCTATTAAAATAATTGTTCATCCACTGGATAGGGGCAATCATTCTTGGCAAAATAAAAAAAAGAATTTAAAAAAAGGTTGTGTTTGAGCCAAGAAAAACTAGTTTGAAAATTCACAAATTTTCCGTGTTCTCCTTCTTCTCCTTAAATGTTGACGGACCTACAGCCCAAACCACTGGCTCAATTTTAATGTTTTTTATGTTGTTTGAAAGCCCTTAGCGTGTAGATGTGCCTTTTGAGGGTCACAAGTCGGTGCGTTGACCCATAAACCCTTGGCAAGCCCTCAAAGTACGATTTTGGCCCATTTAAATAACATGGGATTAAAATCAAAACAAAAGAAGGATCAGCTGCGATTAAATCTCAATTAATTTAAAATGTTAGAGAAATTCATAGGATCAGCTGAAAAATTATTTTAAAACTTTTATAAAGTATTTTTTTCAGGTATACCGAATGATTTGAGCTACTTACTATATAAAATTACTTAGAGCAGTGATATTCCCCGATACTTTCCATTGAAAAATGCAGTGTACCGATGGTACACTGGTACAGCAGCTCGTCATTTTTAACAGTTTAATACTACTTATCAAAACATATGAAACCTAGGAACTTGAAACTTAGTACTAGTACTAAGGTTTGTTTTATGTTTTGATACACTAAAACAAATAAAACAATCGGGAAAATCACTCTACATATGTTAAACAAGCAAAAAAGTGAATGTAAAAAGTGATATGTAAATTTAGGATAAAAATGAGTTTTTCAATATTTGTTTTGCCTTATACTATTTCTAACAAACCTAATCTGTTTGATTACATTTTTACTTCTCTAATAAGGGCTCAATTTACACTAGTCTTAGTCTTTAGATATACGGGTTTAATTATCGGAACACTTATGTAACACCAATGCATTTTATGTGTAGTTGTGCCCTGGTCTATATATAAGAGAAAAGAGGATTTTTATTTTAACTGTTAATTTTCTACAAAAATAAATACAATCTAACAAAAAACCACTAAGTGGTAACACTTCCCCCGCCAAGTCAGCAACCCAAAAAAGACAATAAATCACCACTTTTCCGCCAAATAAAACAATGTAATGTATGTAAGTTTGGCCACTTGGCGGCAGACTTTTGCTTGATCACTTTAAAAAATACCATAAAATTAGTTTCATTGAGCAAGTATCTCTCCCAATAGTACATTGCTAGATGAGAGCTTATTTTACAAAATTTGACCTTATTTGTGTCACATTTCATAAAATCATAATAGTGATGGTTTTATATTTACTGATTACCTCGAAATTATTATACTTAGTTGGACTAATTAATTAGAGAAGTTGATTTGTGAAATTATCCACCAACGTAACAAGCAAAAGTCTGCCGCCAAGTTGCCAAACTTACATACATTACATTGTTTTACTTTTGGCGGAAAAGTGGTGATTTATTGTCTTTTTTGGGTTGCTGACTTGGCGGGGGAAGTGTTACCACTTAGTGGTTTTTTGTTAGATTTAAAAATTAACAGCTGTTTCATTAAAAAGTGTTATCCACATGGCCAAAATATAAACAAATCTGTGGAGGGATCTTTAAAGGCTTCTGGGGCAGAGCCCTAAGGGAATTTACTTAGTTTTTCTTTTGATAAATCATCTACAGACCAAGACCTTTCTTTGGACACCCCTACCATGTTTCTACGCCAAACCGTTCTCTCCCATTAGATTAACATGGGGGAATCTAAATATTTAATTGGAAACTTTGTCTTTACTAATTTGAGAGAACGGCTGGGCTTAGAAACTTGATAGAGGTGTCCAAAGAAAGGTCTTGGTCTGTAGATGAGTCATCAAATTAAAAACGAAGTAAATTCGCTTAGGGCAAAAATAACTAATGTAATATAGGTAATGGAAAAGAGTCTACATAGACCTAAGGGGTCTGTGCGTAGACTCGAGTTGTTAAAACATGGAACATTGGAACATGTGATCACAAGAGTGTGGTGTTTTTGGTTACGGAGAAAATACAAAGAATTTTTATTTTAAAATTCCCATTTATTCTTATGGAGAATATTATAAAATATTGTAAGTTTGCTTTCTGATGGATATATTTAGATGGAGACTACAACAGTGACTGTTCATGCTCAGACTGTTGATGCCGTTAATAACAATACATGCTTATGTTGACAGATATTATGGAATATTTTTGTGAATGCTACATCCAGTTGATGTTTACTCAAGCATAATAACAGCAGAAATGTCTGAAAGTGACAGCAGTTTCTCATCAGTTTACTCATCAGAGTGAGCTCTTTTTAAGTCCAAGGCTCAGGGTAAATCGTCCTCGGATGTAAAGCCCACAACCAAGTCTGCATCCAAACCAAAAACCTTCAAAGAAGGCCCTGGTTGTAACTTGTATTTATGATTCATATTGTTTTTTAATTTTCAGACATGTATAATCTTATTTGTTGTAATATAAAGTAATACAAAAGCCTAGAACTTTATTTACTCCTTTCCTGATGACGATCACGACACAATGTAGGAGTTCAACGGGAACATTTTGTTGATGTTATTTTTAAATTATTCAAATATCAGGAAGCATATTGGTTTTTGTTAGTATTTATAAATCTAGAGAATTTTAATAGATTATAAAGAAGTATAACGTTACCTGGATCTGCCAGAGAAATCCAAAGGTTGTCTGTCGACTATGTGTTTCGAAGCACTATTCGCTTCATTGTCAGGTTATCTTGAAGACCTGATGATGAAGCTAATAGTGCTTCGAAACAGGTCGACAGACAACCTTTGGTTTACTCTGGCAGACCCAGGTAGCATTTTACCATTTTATAATCCAACAACAATACTGAGACAAGAAACAACATGAATTTTAGTAATCAAGAACAAGCATTTCAGTTAGTTCAACAAGCTGATGAGACTTTTTTAAACGAGTTGAGTGATTTAGAACCAACTTCATATACTGAGTTTTTTGGTAAATTAGCAGGTCAAGTAGGAATTGGAGTTAAAAAAACAACTGAAGGAATATTACATAGTACATTATATCCTAAATTTAATACAGATATGGATGTAGTAGATGGTAATGATGAAAATAGTGATGTATTGCATATTGCACCTTCTCAACCAGTTACCTCAGTTATAAATATGGGACAAGGAATAAGACCTAGTTATATAACTAATTGGAAGTTTAACAAGTCATTTGAAATTGGATTAGAAAGTAAATTATTTGAATATCAAAAATCTGATACAAGTAGCAAAGGTAAAGGAATTACAAATATTAAAGCATTTTTCCATTCTTTACCTTGGGAGAAATTATATTTCTATATTACAGAGAGAGAATATAACACTATACTTAATTCATTTCATACTGCTTATGTGGAGCAAGTAACTGTTAAAATTTTTAATTTAGGTGTTACTAATGAAAGTATTCAAGGAACTAACTCTGTTAGTATGAGAAATATAACTCCAAACCATTATTTGGGTGTTTGGAGAAGCTTTGAGAAGCATGGACCTGTTGAGTTAGGTAGTAATATAACACCTACTTTTCTATCTGGTAAACCAATTTGTGATTTATCTACAAATACTAGTTATACAATTGTAAACAAAGATAATATAGGTGCTATATCAGAATTGAAAGTAGTTGATAACAGAGTTACTTATAAAAAAATTACTAGTCGTTATGACACTACAAGTTCTACATCTGTTACAATCGGTGATGCAAATATATATTTACCTCCAGCCACAGAAATGTCTACCTTGAGGGTTAATGCTGCAACTACTATAGGTCTAATTTATCAAACCACTTACAAACCAAAAGATGGGTTCTTTCTAAATAGATCTCATGCATTTCACAATAATTCTGTACTACAACACAACCCATATGATGTTAATATTGATTTAGCTGATTCTGGGAAAATATATGATGCCACATATATATAATTAGTGGCTCTACTCATGAGATAGTTAAATATGAAGATGCCACTATTAACAATATGTTTTTTAGATCAATTAGAACAAACCAACCACTCAGTTTTGTTGATGGTCTAGCTTTAGGATTATTTCCAAAAAGATCCAAGGATGGTAAAAATGTAGATGCCTGTGCAGAGATTGGTATAAATACAGAAATAATTATTAAGGGTGAATCTTTTGGAGGTAGTATATTATGCAGTGGAAGTGCTAGTTATCCTCAAAGTAATCCTAATAAAATATATTTCATTCATAAGAATAAGAAGTTTGATAACGCTTATGCATCTGATGGTTTACCTACTCTTGGAAATGTAAGCTAATCTGTATATATTGAATATATGTCTATAAATAAAATAATCATACTGTATCCAATTGTTGTTATTTAACCAGTACTCTCTACACAATAGGAACCTTCTAGAACCTATCCCTTTAGTACCCTAATTTACAGGTTGATGCCAAATGAAGCTACCTATATGGAAAACCCAATATAAGCCTAGGGGTAGAGACCAGTACCCTCTAGAAGCCTATTATAGGGGGGGGGGGTTTATTATATGAACCAAATATAATATCAGTATGTTCAGTCCAGTGTCGTAGATGAGAGAAGAGACTAGATAAGACACATCTTGATAAATCACTTTTACCAGACACTGGACTGAACATTAGGATTATCCTGTTTGGTTCTCTGCCCAAGCCTGTAGAGGCTATTTAAGCTGTATTTAAGGGTTGTAGAGGTATTCTGTGGTGTTCCAGACAACTTATAAAGGTTAAACCAGCTGAAGGATTAGCTAAAACAGCTTAAATTCAGTAAATACAGCTGAAGAATCAGTTAAAACAGCTTAAATTCAGTAAAAACAGCTGGAGAACTAGTTAAAACAGCTGGAGAATCAGTTAAAACAGCTTAAATTCAGTAAATACAGCTGGAGAACTAGTTAAAACAGCTGGAGAATCAGTTAAAACAGCTTAAATTTAGTTAAAACAGCTAAAGAATAAGTAAAAACAGTTGAATAATTAGTTAAACAGCAGATGGTAAGTATAAGTCTGATTGATACAGCATATGTTGCAAATGAGACTGTGTTCAAGAGAGTTTCACTACACATCAACTTTTTAACGCTTAAATTATTGTGTATAGAGTATTTTTTGGAAAATTACAGTGTGTACACCAGTCTGATGTAGTGTATAGAGTGTATAAGTGTAATCAGATGTAGTTTATCGCCATAGGTTAGAGTATATGGAGTGGTGAGGCATACAACAGATTTGAGAGTTGAAACTGACTAAAAAACTCTTTAAAACCTCAATTAATGGATGAGAGATACTTCTAAAGGCTTGAATGTAATATGTATAGCTCAGAAATCCACTATAGAACATAAATGTGGAGGTAAAACTTCACTGTGCAAGTATTTGCCACTTTAAGAGTAGATTTCTTATGTTAGAGTCAGATATTTAATCACTTGCAGGCCAGTATAACAACCTTTAAAGTCATTTCATGGTTAATTGCATCGTCTAACCTCATATAACTATTGTAACCAACATATTATGGAATATATGGTGACAAAACCTTTGGTTTTAATGTTAAATCTATGAACAGGGCCAAAACAGTGCTAAATTCTAGGTTACTCGTAGATTCTTTCCGAGGCATACTGTTTTGGCCCTATCTCAGTTTTTTATCGACCGAATGTAACCGTTTTGGCTTTAAAAGTTGGGTATTTATAAGGGGGTTTTGAGTATAATACATCCCATCAGTTAAAATAACTTCATTTATGGCCTACACTGCCAGATAGGCCTGTAAAAATGACAATTTCTCACCGAGTACATACTTATTCACAGTCTAAAGTCTACAGTTGCAAATGTTCAACAATGGTAGACTACTGCATTAAATAACTGTTAATTTATCATGATAATTAGTTGATTTTATGTGTTATTCACTTCAAATCCTGTTAGAACCTCTGGGTTTTGTTGGTATTTATCAATAACAGTTTGAACGCTGGAACTAAGCCTTACGATTGACTACAAAATTGGAAAATTCTACATTTATATCTGATTATTACCACTGGTGACAGCTTTTAAAGCTTAGTAAAACTATTTATTTAACATATTTAGACAGTTTAGAAGCCTAGCAAACCAACATAACCTAACAAACTCTGTTTTTAGTTAGCTCAAATTTCATCACTTGTAGGCTACTAGAGTAACTTTAAACGTTGAAAAACTCATTTTAGAAGGTTTATTAACAACGTTTGAAAGAAATATCAGTTAAATTTAAGCCATTAAAGGCCTAAACAGATGAAATAATTGAACCCTAGGAGTAGTGTTATTGGTTGTTGAATTCTATTGAAGAAATCCATTCACTGTACCTAATTTAAGCCTGAATAGAAATATTATTACTACCTATATATTAGTCAACATTATTTCTTATGAAAACTTATTTTAATATAAATAAAGATAGGGAAATTATAGGTAAATCTTCTTTATTTAATATTTTGTCAAGGATAGCAGACAATAAACTCACTCCACTCCAGTTGTGAACTTGTGAAGCTGGTCAGTGTTCCCAGATTGGCCGTAGTCAAATATCGTACACGCGGTCCTAAATTATCGTATTTCACGAAAAATTATCGTACAATTTTAAATAACAATCGTAACTGGCTTGAGTATTGAAATACCTAATAGACTTATATATTTTTTTATTATAAATCTCAAAATCGCCATAAAACCATATTATTTTTAGTTTTGCACGTTGTAATCATAGTAGGTAACTGATATTATGTGAATATTTCTCAACCTCAACACAAACACTACACCAGTATTTTCCTTCCACCATGCACTCATGGCCACCTTTAACTACAGGCCGCGGCCTGGTAGAATTGGCATCTCCACAAGTGGTATGTTGTTCAGTGACAGACGTCTCATAAGATAACATGGCAGACAGGTGATATCAGCTCATTAATTGAATTCACACTTTATTGATTTCAATTTAAATTTATACACATAAATTTATTAAAATATTGAAAAAAAGACATACAGAATTGAAAACCGAAACAATATGAATTAAAAATATATTATGTACATTTTAAGCGGAGTCAATATTGTCATAGTCCAGTAACTAATATTTCGTTAATACACAAATACCATTAGCTGCTTCACTTCCAAACAAAACAGCTGTTACAACACCTCTTGTGATGTTGCCACTTTGAAGGCCGAGGCCTGGAGTTAAAGGCGGCCGTGCGTGCACCCGTGCACCTGCACCATCGATCTCTAAAATAGAGATCGATGGCGTGCACTACTACACCAATAATTCGCCAAATGGGCGAGATTATGTACGGAAGGTCTGTTCTTATGGTAACAGACTTTCTCGTGGTGTAGGAGAAGCAGAAGAAGCGAAGCAGAAGCATTCAAGCAGTTTAGAAGCACATTTCATGGAAATGGTTTCGTTTTAATTTTATTCATACTAACAGTTAACTTATAGTTTTCATA